AAAAATGATTATATATACCATTTCATTTTTATGTATAGTATTATATTCTTCGGACATCGCCTCCCTCTCTCCCCAACACACACTGAATAGCAGGCCCGGAAAGGTCACTATCCAAATTTGACAGCACGTGCATTTTTACTTCAACCTAAGGCTGTCATGTACAAGTATTCCCCGTTGGAATTTCCAGGGTATCGTTCCGACTGTTGTACTTACTCTGGCCGTCCATTAAAATTATCTTTATTGCCATTAGCAGCAATTTATATTACTTACAAACATTACGAGTGATGATTAACATAATATAATACATTGTAACATAACAGATTGTAAAACGAAGAACATAATATTATTTATAAAAATATAATTATATATGTATATATTATTAAAAAATAAATATATATATTTTTTAATTTAATAAATAATAGTATTCATTAAGAAGGTCATGTAAAAATTTCCCATTCACTTCTGTAAATTTAAGTGTATTCATTTTAATAAATGTGAATACTGCCGTATTCACTTTTCAATCGTGACCGTATTTATATTTACAGCATTGAATACGTATCACCTGTATTCATATTTCTTTTTTATGAATACAATTATATTCATAAGTACCATAAATATAAATAGTATTCATATTTATAATTTTTAATATAAATATGCCCATCTCTGAGTCAGAGGTTCCCTAACTACATCAGCCCTCAAGCCCCCAGAATCCGACCCGACATAGTTTCTCTGATTACATGGTTTCTTTGATTAAATTAAAAATTTTACCTTTTTATATATACATATACATAATGTATACTATATATTATGCTGATTCATATCACTACTTTAAAAACAAATCTTAAATTTCTTAAAAAAAATAAAACGTTCGAAACCATTAATTTTATTTTTTTTCTGTTGTTTAGTAATATATTAATTTAGTATTATTTTTGAATTAAGATCATATTTCATCTATTTTTTAATTCTTTCAGGTAAGTTTCTGAATGAAATAAAAAATATAGTACACTAATGAAGATGGTTATAAAGTTACAAATGAAGGAAAGAAAGAATAATAAGGCACAGTAAGTAATCAAACTAAATTTTTACTGTTATCAACAACAAATTTTATATATTCAAAGATAATTCAATGTTGTTCATTCAGTATCAAGATTTATTGAATTGATGATTTATGTAGATATATGTTATTTATATACTATTGCATATAATGGGTTATAGATAATCAGGACTTGTCTCACTAAGGCAAGTTTTCAGCATAGAAAATGTTAAAGCAATCTAAACTCAAGTTTTGGATTGTAACGTTGGTAATAAATAAAAACTTGACTGAGGCCTGATTGTCTATCAACTAATCTAAATCTATAAATATTTATAACATTGGTAAATTATTAGATTGAGGCCAACTCTGTGTGTGTAGAAGTTATCCTAATTATATAAAGATCCAGGAAGATAGTCTGTTTCCGCCAGCGAAAGTGTCCTCCAGATGGGTAATCTCATTGGCTTTTTGATATGATAGATTTCGGGTAGTTGAGTTTTGATGGACAGACGTGGCCGTTGACGAGACAGGCTCAACAATGGAAGGAGAGCCTGGCAGGCTGTTCAACAATGGGAGAGGATCAACCGTGCCCCTGGTTTTCACTTTTATTTGTCCATCAGTTGGGCTACTTTCTGCCGCCACTGGTTTCATATTGTCCGTAACAGCTTTTGTGCAACTGCGCAACGCACAGTGGGCGAGGCGCGACTTTGATGAACTTTTTTCACCCTCCAGCTACGAGAAGTTTCACTGTATGTTCCTCATTGTGTTATTCTTCACTGTGTTTTGTAATCATTACTTCGCTGGAATTTTATTAATCTTTGTATTTCTATTTCAAATTATTTTTTGATTTTGTTAATCATGTCTCAGTTTGTAGGTGGAAAACATAGATTTGTGTATATATTTTGTTTTGAATTCCTGGAGAAAATGATTTATTTATGTAGAAAAAAGAAAACTCCTAACTAACATTAATATTATACAGCGAACTCAGTTTAACACGAGACGTTTACTTTCGGTGATTCATAATAAGTCCGGTCCGATTTAGACCAGATTTGATGAATCGTAATACGCTATTCCAAAAAGAAAATTAATATAAATATTATTATAAATTGTAACTTTCATTTTAATAATCTACAATTACTTGTGAGTAACTACATATTGATAAAATTTTGGTTAGTTTTAGACATAATTTCTAAAATAATAGACATTTGTATGGACGATTATCGCAGGAGGAGGGGTCTAGGTGCGTTTTATATCCGTTTCAGAATCCCTACAACACGATGGTTATGGAAGTTACGACTATAAAATGTGTACCATAAATAGAGCTAAACATTTAAAATGTTGATAGGGGACAGAACGATCTACAAAAAAGTTCATATAAACAATTGCCCAATTTCCAGTAGAAAATTAGAAAATGTAAGATTTGTTTGTTTTTTTTAAGCGTCACGTTTTTTGTTGAAGAGGAAGCGATAACGTAAATAATATTTGATTAAAGTAATTAAACATTTCTCCATAGTAAACTAGATAAGATTTAAATTAAACGGAAATAGGGTTTATCATTGTTAAAACTATTTAAAGAGGACCAATAAACGGACGGACACAGCTGAGTTCCGTTTAAAAAACATCATAAATTATTTGTGATTTTTTTTTATCACGCTTCAACTATAGTGCATTTTCAAATTTACTAATTACAAATTTTCCCCACTTTTAGAAGAATCTCCTCGTTTAATAAGCTCTATGCCTATTAATTAACTTAAGGTTTATTAGGAAAAATTTTGAGTTATATGTAAACTTGTGTAAGGAAATGGTGTGATTTTTTGTCCAGTCACCTAAAATTACACATGTTTTGTTTTGAAAAAAATGATTACAATTAACTGTTGCAAAGCTCTTATTCCTTGTTTTCTCGTGACATGGGACGTATTGTTATAAAAAAAAACACATTATATTTATAAAAAATAGAAAAAGATGATTTTTCGCGTAAAGTCATTATGAAATTGTGTTTTTCTCCCAAATCTCCGTCATAGGAATTGATAAGTATTTGTCAGTGACAAACCTAATGTTTCTTACTAAAATTTGCGTAAATAAATAAACCTAAAATAAAGAAATCTACTGCTCATGCTAATATCGCTTAGATTATTTTCATGAAAACGTAAATTAGGGCTAGAAACACCAAGTTCCGTCACTTATAAATTAGCTTCAATTCATATGACAAAAATCTGAGAGAAAAACACAATTTCATAATTACCTTACATAGAAAATATTTCAAAAATCATTATTTTTATTGTTAGCAATATTTTAATAAAAACAATAAATACATGCCTCAGTTTATATGATTTTCGATTTCGAAAAAAAATTAATGAAAGTTAAAAATGAGAGGAAAATACAACATCCGTGATCATGTTTTTTATAATTACACACCCAATTTAGAGAAAAATTATACGTGCTATTATTGGCACTGTTTGCTTATAGGTATTTTTTAAAATGTTTTGTAACCATATTTAGAAATCATTTTTTAAGATTTATATATATATTTGCTAAAATATAAGTAGTAGAAACGTATGTTTTTATCTCTTTATGTTACGTTTTACGTTTTAAGTATAAATTTATTCGTGTATAGTAAGTAACTTTATATGCTCTGTCATGGCCATTTGAACCCTCACATGTCCTCAGTGCGAATCAATAATGGCATTGTAGCTCTTCATCCCTGATATCTTACATTATATAAAGTTTATACCATATATAATGTTTATATTCTATTTAATTGCTGATTACCTAAAATAAATAAGGATTTATTTCATTCTGTGACTTTTCGTCTCTATGTAAAAATGATAGTTAAGTTCATATTATTAATTTATGAAATTAATTAGACAACTTCTAAATTATCTAAGGAATATAAGATCGGAATTATAATAGTTTAAGTATTGAAGAGAAAATCAAGTTTATGGATTTTTTTTTTTTTTTTAGATGAAACATTGAAATTTCGATGAACCGCTGCACAAAAGACATCAGTGTAGGGAATAGAACTATTGTTTTAAGAGCTAATCTCTTCCCATTATTATATAGTCTCACAATCAGTAGCTGTTAATTGAGCTACAGTGGGAAGTGGAAATTTTATCTCTGATTCTTTTCGTTTAGCTTATTTAAACTTCAAATAATAGTTGGGCACCACCCTCCCTCCATAAAGATTATAGACAATGACCCAGTAAATATATTCAATATTTATTGGACTGCACGGCACCACAATGAAAAATATTCCAAGGATGGCGTATGATAAATATTTTAAAAAATGTATTATGGTAACCATTTTCTTAGATTTATTTAAAAGTGAAGTATTCACATTGTCGATATAAATATAATATAAAACCAAAGATTTAACTTTTCCTAAAATCAGACCGAACTAAATAGATCCTACTTTGGAAACACATTGCAGAACGAAAATTGAAGTCAACAATAAGCACTATGCAACTCTATACTATTATTGATTCGACTTGATCAAACACAATTAACTGTCCTGTTGTTTTAAGTAAATTCTTTCCTTAGGTTCTTCAATTTTAGTTCTTCTTGTTTTTAAACATTTAAATTAACTATTACATACCTACACATAACCGAGGTCAATTGTAGAGCAAGGCGACCCAGGTTGAACCCAAGGGGCGCCTACCCCATGTTGGGATTATCAAAAATTAGAAGCCCTGTTAATAATAAAACCCCTAATTGGAGCCTTCCTATAAGAAATCAAAAAATTCAATTTTTCAGATGAAGCTGATCTAATTAGAAATTATCTTCGATTTCATTGCTAACTTTTATCGATTTATTTAATTAAAACGTGTATTCTGATAATGTCTCGATTAGGAAGTATTAAATAAAAAGGATGAGAAAGTACTTGGTAATTATTATTAAAAAATAATGGCTTTTCTCAATAGTAAGTGACTATAAATATATTCAAATAGATTGCTTATTTGATTCGTAAAACTACAACATGTGATGATATTCTTTCTTGCTTTGAGGTTATATTCGTATATATTTTCCAGTATATCTAAAAATAAATATCGAAATTCATTTATTTTACTGCGCTTCCAAATTTTTAGTCATGCCAAGCTCTGCCGACATTTCCAAGCTAATTGCCGATGCTGATGAAAATGAGGGTGATTCCGATGTCCGTTTTAGTACTGTTGGTGAGTACAACAAGTCTGTTTTTGCAGCGAGCGTCAATGGGTATAAGGACATGATGATGTTATCATTGGTTCCTAAAGACCCTTATCCATCGGATGACTCTATTTTCGAAATGAAAGATGTCATCGAAAACCTGATGTGTCATCCGAAAGGGATATTTTTATATGATGATGAACCTCGAGCAATTGGGCTTATACTCGCTTCTTTAGACCTAATGAATACAATAAAAAACAGAAAGACGATGTATAGTGCCTTTCTAGACGCCATGGAGCCGACCCATATTTCCGGAGTAATATTGTCTGAGGAAATACTGGATTATAGTGTAGAGCCTTCAGTCTCACTCCTCGATACTCTGTCTTCGAAGGGAGTCCTGTTCGGGGTTCGTGTGGACAAAGGTGTCGGCCCTCTCTCTGGAAAATATCGAGACGAGTGCAGAACTGATGGCCTAGACCAATTAGTTCAAAGGCTTTCCTCTTATAAGAAAGTGGGTTGCAAGTTTGCCAAATGGCGGAGTGTGTTTCGAATCAGTGATACCACTCCTTCTCATTTGGCCTTATCTGTAAATTGTAACGCTATAGGAAAGTTTTCTGCCATAACACAAAGCCTTAGCTTGGTACCAATTATTGAAATTGAACTCATCAGTTTCAAGACTTCTTTTATAATTGAGCAATCCGCGAAAATTCTAGAAAAGGTTCTTATCGCCGTTGTCAAAACATTGTCTGATTTCAACATTTCCATCGAGACTACTATAATTCAGACATCGATGCCGCATTGCACTATTGGTTGCCGTACTGGCAAGATCACGACAAAATATTTGGCCCAAACATTTTTGAACTGCTTGAAGAGATCCTTGCCCACTGCTACGGGCGGAGTTAGCATCCTTTCCGGGAACATGAGTGAGGACTTGGCTAGTGTGACTTTTTCTACCCTGATGTATATTAAAGACAAATATTCACCTTGGCCGATAACGTTTGCGTTCGGAAAAGCTCTGACCCACTCAGCCATCCAGGTCTGGGACCAAGAAGCTTGCAAAGATGCCCAGGACCAGTTCAGAAAGAGAGTGGCCGCCAACGCCTTGGCTAGGACTGGTCGCTACAAATCTGGTGCCGCTGTAACGGTGGCGATGCATGATGATCTTCCCATGGATGAATTGGTTCATTAATAATTATTTTTTTTATCCTTCAGAAAAATGTATGATCAGAGTAGTTGTTTTATGATTAGACTTAATGAATTATTAAGGTGAAAATTAAAAAAATCATGATTCTGCCTTTATGATTTTTAGTGTATCTTTGAAATGTCTTGTAAGATAAACTATAATGATTACAAATTACTATTTTTAAGTTTGTTCAAACTCCCTATCATTACATTTGGTAGAAGATTGATATTAAGAGTCATGCCACCACTTGTGGGATGGATAGTCAGATTATTTACCAGGTACTGGTATAGGTATAGGCACTGGGACAAAAAATATAAGGATTTTATAGTTAAAGTTTCATAGCTTAAGCACAGTGGAATATTATTTGTTTTATTGTATAAAACATCTACTACATGATATACCTGCGCATACACATATATCAAAACCATATAAATGACATATATGTATTAGATACGTATATGGATACGTATATATCATGTATTTATCAAATGATGTTTTAAAAGAGCTTACCTAAAATATATGAAAAATAAAGCTTAATTTGACCATTCCACCTATTCTTGCGAACTGTGTACTTAGGAGATTGTGGCTTCAGTGTGAAATTTCTTGTTTTCCAACTGACAGCAGTATGAACTAGACACGTCCAGTATAGAGTTCTATTGTTTTTATCCTAGGAAACGTCACGTTTTTCTGGTTAAATTTTATTTCGAATGGTCCAAACCCAATTCTCTACCATGTCCCATTACACTGGATCTTTGGCTGCGAAAAATTATCTGTTTGTACTATTACCCTGCTATTCTTTTAAACATTATATAGGCTTTCTGAAAAATAACTGAATCACTTGTCAACACAAAAAAAGATTATTCATTTATATTATTGGTTTCATCAATATTACTCTCAGTCTGTTTAAGATCTTTTCTGAGTTTTATATATTTATCTTCCATTGCACTGCAGTAGGTTTACGTGAAACTGACGATAATCTAATTTGCTCTTTCCTTAAGTTTTAATGCTCTTCAGTTAATTTTTGTTGCCATTGTTGGTACCACGTTATTAGTTATTCTATTTCCTTCACACGGTTTTATTTTTCCAAGAAGATATATGTCATTAATGTTATTTCTTTATGTTTAAATGAGTGTTTCGTCAGGGATTTGGTGCTCTAATTTTTATTTTTGTAGGAAGTTGGTACGTAAATAGTATAATCATAATAAAACTTCAAATTTGTATTTAACTCGCATCATCGATGGAAAAAAAAAAATTTTTTTGCAATCAATGGATGATCTGGACATTCAGAAGCCGTGAAACGTTACTGTTGAAACCTCTTTGCAGGGCGGGTAATATGAAATCATTCAAACAATTTAAAGAAAAAATGTAGGCTTTTATACTTTTTATTATATAGTAACCACTGTGCGAGCTTATCAAAGCCCGCGATAACGTCTAATACCATACCAATACCAATACCATTACCAATAAAATCTAATACAAATACATTAAAGGCGCCTGAAAATGCAACTGATAGCAATACAAATGATATAGTGAATAAATCAAAGCAATAATTTAAAACCTAAATTTTTTTTTATTATTATTTTATTAATAATCCGCGGACGCAAATAAATAGTTAATACTCCTAATAAATAGGAGTGGATTCTTAATTCACCAGAGGTTAGATGATGATGATGATGATGGAAATGGTTCGCGGTGAATTAATTTATGAAGAGTAAATGATAAATGTTAAATAGAATAGGACACATCAGGGACTCAGTGAATTACTGTACCACAGTGGTAACACATTACAGAAATAAATTCCTAAAAAAAAACCTGTGCCACTACTACCCATGAAGTCTTCGGTTCAGTACTATTTAATGAGTACTGTTTCAAGACCAACGGTTGTGCAGGGAGAGGATCGGACCAAAATCACGCTCAACCGCCAGGTCATTTCTCCTTATCAATTATTAAATTAAGGGTAGCCTCTTTGAAGAGGGTGGGTGTGCCCCAGGAGGGTCTCCCTACCTCAGGAACACTCCACGGCCTATGAAAAGGAATAAATATCTGTTCTGCCATGAGCTGCGGGATTCGATCTGGGACCTTGAAAACGGGAAGGTCAGTGCCTTACCACTGAGCTAAACCACTGTCAAATAAACATATTATGATTATATAACCTAAAATAAATTCTCCGCAGTTTTAAACAAGGAAATAGCAAACTGTTGATGAATTAATAAAAATTTCAAACCCATCTCCTGAGGAAAAATAATAAGGAAACAACCCTAAAACAAAGATCTAGATTTGCTCCCTTACAAAATCAACTAATTGGCTATTTTTGTGTACACCACTAGAGGTTCAGACACAAATCTCTTAAATATTACAGCTTCAAATCTTCTCGTATTTACAATCTATTTTGGACTTATAATGCTTATTACATGTCAATGAGTTGAAAACTGTCTTTCACGGGTACATTTACCATATACTATGGTACCAAGATGTTTTTCATTAAGTCTAATTATGATCAGTGAACTATTTTTGTTATTATTTTGTACGCTTTTCGAATTCATAGGTTAATTTAAATCAGATTTGTCGAAGGTATAAAATAAAAAACAGATTGAAGAGATGTATAGAGAGTATCATAATTGTGGATTGATGGTTGACTGTAGTGAATAATTGAAGAGAAGAATGGTAAGGGTGGTCAGCCAAAAAAAATATTAAAAATAAATAATTATATTTATTTTTATTATAACCGACGCTTAGGCCCAAAGTTCAGGCCTTCATCGGGGCTGAGAAAAATCTAGATAACAATAACTATGCGAAACTATAAACAATGAATAATATAGAATTAACATTAAAAAGTGAAAAGTATAGACTAAAAAATTAGAATAATTTAATATAGACTAAAGGTAGAAAATAAACTTAAAGTAAAGTAAAGTAGATAGAGTGAACATTAAAGTAAAATAAAGTAGGTAGAATAATAACAGTATCAAAGAACTAAGAAATAAATAATTTGTTGCCGTTATTATTTATTTATTAGTTCTCTGTTACAGTTATTATTCTACCTACTTTATTTTACTTTAAGTTTATTCTACGTACATTTTTTAGTCTATACTTTTCACCTTTTTAATTTTAATACTTTATTATTCAATGTTTATAGTTTCTCATACTTTGGGCCGAAACGTCGCTACAATAAAAATAAACATAATTATTTATTTTTAATATTTTTCTCTTCAACTATAATAGCATCATTTTTTAAATCCTACTCCTCTAATATGCTGTTTATTTTAGAGAAAAGAAAACAATTTTAACTTATATTTTTTAATAATAATAACAACGACAACTGATTATACAATTTAGAAGCTTGACAATAGATAGTGAATTGCTTACTTCGCCTGTCCTACTTTTCTGTTACCTAGCTCCCTCGGATCATTCTTAATGCCTAAGATTTCTCTTTTCTTCTCTATTTCTGCAGAGAAATTTCCACGCGCTCAAATGGAAAACTAATTGCCTCAACCATGAATTTTTCTCATGAATCAGTCATTTTGTTTGTTGCTAAGAAAGGAATGGTAAAACACCATAGAGCCGTAATCTCACGCCTTTTTAGGCCGATTTCTTTTATATATATTTTTTTTAATTTAAAGAGAGAGTAGGTTAACCTACATTTTACTTAAGTTTTATTTTAAAATTTAAAATGGGACATAGATTTACAGGTTGGTAAGTCCTGGTAGGGCCGGAACTGAGGAGGGGCAAAAAGGCACTTGGCTTTAACTCTTTCCTTTTTTACATTAAAATATCTGTTAATGTTAGTTTTTCCTTTTTGTATTGAAAAGACTTTAGCGCAGTTTTTCCATTACTCGGCCCACTGTGGGTCAGTCCGATAATCTTTTTTTCAGATTTCTAGTGGCTCTATTTCCGCGGAGCTTTAGACGCAGTGTTCCTAATATTACTTGGAAATATTAATATTTAAAAAAAAACATAGTTTTATACCATTCGGAATAAATAGAGTATCGCCAAAAATCTACAGACTATAGGGAAAATTGCAATAATAACCTTCTCGAGTAGAAGTTAGTTGTTTAAAGCCAGTCGATAATAGCCGAAACGATATTGGCAGGTCTGAGCTCTCATCGCGTTGCCAACTCGGCCTATCCAAGCTAACTCATCATTCACTGGCGTAAGGTTTGGTTCCTTTTAAATTTTAAATATTTTAACAATTTGGGTGTCTATTCTACTGAGTTATTTTTGTTTAGAATCCGTTACATGCAGTATAAGCATCTTTTCCATCTCTCAGCAGAGAATTATTTCGATGAACGATGTGTCGAAAGATATCGAATCTTGTAAAGAAAAAACGAATTCTGATTTAAGATATATAATTGGTCTACAATAAAAATGTCAGTACTCTGTGGGCGCAAATTTTGATGCTCTGGGTTTTTCCTCTTAGAGAACTCATTTCCAAGTCACAATGCCATTTATAGTCATTTGTCTCAGTTTTTGACAAATTTAGTAAAAATCATCGTTGGTTGACCGTTGTTTTATATCTTAACACGTCACCTAATTATAAAGTTTATGTACTTATCAACTTATCAACGCACAATTTAACGTTCTTTAATTTATATTTTTTCGCTTTGATGCATCGTTTAGGAGTTATAGGTAGTGTTGCCCAAATGCGAGACCCAGACGAGTCTTGGTCTTTCAAACTCAGTTTGGTCATGGTCTTGGTCTTGCACAAGAGTCTCGCAACAGTCTTACAGTACTGTATTTTGTAGATAGGAGAAACCTAACTCAGCCTGAATGAAAAATTAGAGGAATTAAATGCAAAACTATATTAGTTATACCAATTATTTACATATAGTAACTAAGATTGTCGAGTATTAGTAATTATTTTGCCTTAATTTTTTATTAAAAACATCGATTTTTTTTTCCAGTCCTGGTCTTGGTCTTGCAACAGTTAAGTGGCCTTGGTCTTGGTCTTGCAAAGTGCAAGACCAACACCGATTTTGGGCAACACTAGTTATAGGTAAAAAAACAAAAAAATATCGAAATAATCCGATTTTTGGACGGTAAATAATTTTCTCTTGGTGCCCCTCGTTAGAAATTTTGTTTTTTATATGTCTAAAGTCATATATACAAGTTAAAAACATAA